CTATAGAACCTAAATCTCTTAGCTTTCTTTGGTTAACGAGAGTTTAAAAATTCTCTCTAATCTGTGGCTCATTCATAATCATCTCACAGTTTCTGTCACAGAGTACCTTATTATAACCGGAAATGACACCTGATTTTAAAAGTTACTCTTATGCATGAACTTTAAAAACAGGCAACTTTCTGTTAATCTACATGCTCTATATACCTGAATCTTATCCATAATTTCGATACTAGCCTTGATTTCCCTAATTTACTATATAACTTATTGGTTTTTTATTATTTTAATATGTTCAGTGTATATGGTTTATAGAAGTTCTCAGGGGTGTCCATAGGGTGAAATTTTTATTTTGAATTGGTTTGAATTAATAAGGCATGTTGGAATTTAGGCTACCATTTCGGAGGCCACGCCTGGAAAAGTATTTAAGTAAAGTAACTTTGGTACTTCTGCCTCAAAGGCCGAAAACGCATTTGTGACACTTCTAAATATCTATAGAAGAGGGTGATTACTTTTAATCAACGTTAAGCAACTTTCACAGTGGTCGGTCATTGGATGCGTGACCAAAAATTTACTATCTTGCGCTCCTCCGTGCTTCGAAGGCACATAAAGCCCCGTTGGTTACGACTGCATCTGCAGTCGTTAGCACCCACTAATCCCCTGGGCCCGCGTGGTGTGTCACATACCATCCATCCATAGGGAAGGCCTGTGCCCCAGCAGTGGGGACAAATACTAGGCTTATAATGATGATCGTAAGCGGCCATTGGCAGTGCTTGTTTTTTACTAGTGGCCAAATTTTAGAACTCAAACTCATTTTAGAACTCGTAATAAAAGTGAAAAAGACATTGAAGTAGTTGCCGCCAGACAAGGGCTACCAAAGTGACCGCTAACATAGAAGATGATCAATTTTTGTTTACTTTTAATTTAAATAAGATAATTGTTCAGTTACCAACACGTCAAAAAATTTCGTAAATGTTTTTTCGCCCGTTGAAAGGTCAGGCGCATTAATTTTCATTACTGGGATCGTTCACACGCCAACATAACAATGGATCTTAATTACATTTGAAAGTGGGAATCCATTAAAAATCAAAATTGAGATTGATGTGCGAGTAATATGTGTGAAGTGAATATAAAATATATCTGTACTTGCGTATTAATAACAATCATAAATACGTGATTGATAACATTAAACTCAAATCTAAAGTTATTTACAATTTTTATTTTTTTAAAGCATGTAACTGCTTGATGTTTAAATCTAAAGAAAATATAACTAGAAAAAAATCCACGCGGACCAGGCAGCAGACGGGACTCGAACTCGCACCCTTCGCAATCCGGGCGAATGCACTGACCAATTATGCTACCGCGGCCCTGGCGGCCGCGTCGAAATTCCTCTAGCTATTCTTAAGCTGCAAGGCAGCGCCATCTCTTCGCATTATAGGTAACCCACAATGTCAAATGAATACTTTTACAAGTATTAAATATTTGAAAGAAGAAATAGCAATTATAGTTAGATTTTTTTTATCACATGCATTTCTTTCTATTCTATTTTGAATTTTTTCTAGTTATATTTTCTTTAGATCTAAAGTTATATTTTTTTTAAAATAGGACATTATTATATTCATGTCAAACAAATAAACACAATTTTTTGACGTTTTATAATAACACTGAATGATTTGAAAATCATTCGCTTGATGGTTGATTTAATAATGCTTGTGTTTTGAATACGAGCATTTGTACTCCAATCATCTGACCTTTTGACATATATTTTGATTCGCTGATGGCGCAACCTAAAATAGATCCACTGTACTACATAGACTTTTCAACTTATTTTTGTAGCTAGTCAATGTCCCCATTTGTGTTAATGGAATAACGTCGTAAATCGTTTCCATCTTGAATAAATCCCGATTGAATAATCTTTATTTACGAGCTAATATAATAAATGCCCGAGCGCTTTCATACGATGTTATGTTCGCTATAATAATCTGATGTTTTCCTGCTCAAACGCTTTGCCGATGTTGTTTTATCTCCGCCCGTTTGATTGGACGAATCTGTTAAAATATTTTTGGTTCTGTATGCAGTGATTATGTTTATTGTTGCTGTTGGCAAGTGGCCTGATTTGGGAACCTCTTATTATACTAGAACAAGGGCGCTGCCAATGAAGGTCAGGTGGAGACAGCTGCTATTTAAATAAATATAATTAACTAAATATTTATTTATGGTACAGCGATAGAGTACAAATCGTAAATTAAACTTTAATATAGAAGGTTCATCCTATGAATGAAAAGTAGACCAATTCGCAGGGAGAAACTATACCTGACGACTCTAAGTTACGAGTGCTATAGTTTTTCACGCATACCACTCAATAAATGAAACAAGTTTTATTTTCGTTCTCTCAGAAGGATGCTGTTAGTGACGCGCTCAATTATATTATACTAGCAAACCAGTGAACCAAATGTTCACCAAAACCTGATTTAAAAAAAAATGTATTTAATTAATTGAGAACTTCGGAGATTTTGTGTGGTTTCGTTTAAAATTCGTGATTTCTCGAAAACCGGAAGTGCTACGTTACTCAAATCCGGTTTGTAGTTTTATCAGAGACTATTCTTAACTTATAACTTAAATATTCTCTTTATCTATCTCTTACGGACGGACGGACTTGTCTAATAGATAAGAGATTTTTTATTAAAAATATAAGGTAGTGCGATGTCACTACCGATCCCGCGGATAACCGTTATGAGCCGTTGCATGGGCTCCAACGAGTCTGCCGCGAACCTCTCTGGAAGGGACACCGTACTACTTTGCAATCCCTAAAAAACACGTGCTAGGCTAAAATTACTGTAAAAGTGATTTATTATACCTTTATTTGATGCATTTTGGCGTTTTACATCGTTACTGAACCTCCCATCCCCCACAGATGTGAAACGTCGAGTTCTGTAAAATGTATTGTAAATGCATTTGAGGCCCGCTGAACAACTTGTTTAATTTACGATAGTAGCAAAGGAGATACTCTTTTGCTACATTTTTGCTACGACTTCAGCTACGGCGTAGTTACCATCTCACGTAGCGGACACGGTTTCCTTCTATCTGGTAGAATCTTGTTGCTCCGAAATTTATTTAAAATTTCCATAATACATTTGGCATATTTTTTTGTTTACATGGGAACAAAATAATAATCTGCCTCCACAAAATTCCGCCCTATTAAATAAAATACAATACCAAAAATAATAACTATTTATATATCTCTAAATAAAGTTCATTGAAATTATAATTGCAGAATACTAACATAATTTCTTATCTTATCTCAAACAACTTTCGTATCACTCAAGTTCTCGTATGTTATACAGTGTAAAAATAATTATATTAATCATCTGTTGTACAATTTTAATTATTATAAAAAAAAATATTGACTTTAACAAATTAATGGAATAAAAATTCATTAATTTGTTAAAGTCAATATAATAAAAAAAATTAATATCATATTTTTTAACAGAAAAACTTATCGCAGTAAGTCAAAAAAATATATAAATAAAACTTGTACTGCACGTTACATTTATAGCTATTTGATATTCCGTTAACACAATTATATTGATAATAAGTTATTACACGACACATCACTCAATATCATCCCATTATGACTAATTTATAAGTTACACGATCAATCAATCAAAAATAATTTATTCAGTTAAACCTTTTACAAGTACGTGTGAAAGTCGCAAACTACGCCATCAGTTCGCAAAACTACGGCGGGAGAAGTATTGAGAAGAACCGGAAAAAACTTAGCAAGGGCCGCTTTTTTCTCCCTGATTTCTGTCATACAGTATCGTCAAATTGAAAGCTGACATCAAACTTGCAAACATGTATTGAAGTCAACTTCCATCACATAATGTCAAATAGGTAATAAGAAACAATGAACGAATTTAGTGTAAAGAAAAGTCTCAATAGCAAGAAACAATTTTCAAAACAAATCAAGCAAGTAAATGAAAGGTTAGTGCAAGGTTCTCTTCAAAACTCTTCATAAGGCCCCCGTTTTAATATAATTTATGATTTTGTCCCATTCGGTGTCGAGACGCTTGGTCCGTGGGGTCCTAGCGCTTTAAGGCTATTTAAGAAAATAGCAAAAAGGTTAGTCGACGTCACAGGAGACCGAAGAGCTGGCAGCTACCTCGGACAAAGAATTAGTCTAGCCATTCAAAGGGGTAACGCTGCCAATATCTTCGGATCCTTGCCTAAAGGGACTCCTTTTAATAATATATTTTAGTTATTAATTTTATTTTTTAAGTTTTAGTTTTATTGTTATATTTTACTTATATATAGTGTAATGTAATTAGATAGAGACTTATTTGTTTATAGTTAGTGTATTTTATAGTTTTATGATGTGAAATTGTTTATATTGTAATTATGTGAAGAAAGAGGCAAGATTTGTATGTTTGTAACAAATAATCTGTCAAACTACTGAACCGGTTTCAAATATTAATTCATCATAAGGTAGCTACATTATTTATTATAACATTTTTCTTTATTTAAATACATTTTGTCCGAGTGACATAGGCTATATTTTTGATAATGTAGTGCGTGCTGGTCTTGTGCGTGATGGACGCGTGTCATCTAAACACGCCCTTAGAACGTATTTCCGTCTAATACCATCTTTCAGTAAGTAGTGTCACTTGTTTAAGGCGTGAGATATTTTAAATTGGAAATAAAATAATTTATTATTTAACAGAAATTATACTTGAGTTTCATATATGTAGTACCCATTTCAAATTCAAAGAATTCGCGATAGTAAAAAGGTAGCTAGCTCTCAGAGGTTCAGTTCATTTTTAAGAAACTTACTTAATTGGAAAAAAATGCTTAAGTTGGAATTTGACTAGCATTTTGATGTCGTCTAATTAATGGGTTGTCCTCAAAGGGATTATTTAAAAATGCAGCGTGAGATATGATTTTACAAAAAAAAAACACAAACACTTTTTTTCTGACTGCCTCTCGATAACAAAGACAAATATCCGGTTAAAAAAATTGTTAACAGTCGCTCTAAACGAGTATTATGGACTTTCGACTCTATATCTATACTCAATAATCTTAATATACAGATCAAACTACTTTTTTTTTGAGACAAATGTAATGCAGTATAATATTTTTTTTAAGCATATTGAATTATCATACACATAATCTAACTCGTTATTTTGATGAAATAACTACAAGTGCATCGATTATATATTGATAAATCGATACGGTTATTACAAAATGGCAGCACTGAGAAGACAAGTGTGTCAAAAAATACAAATGAATTACCAATTTATTATAGAGATTTTTGTTTGGCGAAATTAAAGCAAATTATTTAACATAGTTTTGTGAAAATTAAAAACTTGTAATTTTTTTGATATAAATTAGGTGAATTTACAAGGCCAACCAAGGACGATACTACCAATGGGTGTTCTCCTTTCGGCCTGAGTATACTGTTTTAAACCATTTACTCAAGCCGCCATTGCCCACATCATGTTCACGATCGATCCCCTTTTGTGCTGAATGATTTGAAGCAACTACAGGTGAAGCCATTTTTTGGACGCAAAATATGGCTAACTTAGAATTCTAGAACTATTATTATCTTCTTGCCTAATTATCTAACACTGACATCACTAGAGTGAAGAATGACGTTCCAGTTTTTATAAACTGAAAAAAACCGAAAAATACTTTAACAAGACACTGATTGCGAAGAAGGCACATACTTATACCACAAAATAGATAGTACAGAAGTTAATCTACATACAACGTGCACTACAGCAACGCACACATAGATACCGCCCACGGACACGATTTCTTGTACCGCTTGAGACCAGTATGAGCGCGAGTTCGATCCGCTTGAGACACACGCGTCTGTGACCTTTTTGTGTAAAAATAGAGTAAGAGAAAAGTTAGTATAACTACGTCAGTTTGAATTAAAAATTATTCTATTTCCAGTACGTCGAAGGAAAAACAATATTTAAATTGAAATGCTTTACTTATTATTGATTTATATTTCCATTCTATCTGATTCACCATCAACAATAAATAGATACGTTCAACAACTATAGATACGTTCAAGTACCAATAACACATTTTTTTGTACACAAGCATAGGTTGACTATCCTGTCGGGACCGCAGAGCCTAGGTATGCTGAGTGAAGTGCATACATAGTCATAAGATTACCCTCTGTACTATCTACTTTGTGCTTATACAAAGTCAGCTGGTAAAATTCTGTCTAACAAATAGGTAAAAATAAAAACTTTTATAACAACAGCAAAAACCACTTCCTAAATACGAAACTGCAATATTTTTAATTGTTTTTTTTTTATGTTATAGGGGGCATACGAGCAGTCGGCTCACCTGATGGTAAGTGATTACCGTCGCCCATGAACACTTGCAACACCAGGAGTATCACAAATGCGATGCCTGCCTTTAAGGAAGGAGTACGCTCTTTTTTTGAAGGTTTTTGGGTCGTATTGGTCCGGAAACACTGCTGGTACTCATACATTTATTATTTTAACTTTGTAAGCTTGGAACTGGCTTGTAAAATTGTTTGGTAAGTACAGATTCGGGTAAAGGATCATTTATGTCTTAAAGTTTAGGTAGTGGTTTTGTATTTGAGAAATAGTTTTTTCACTAAGAATATTTATTAAGAAAGTTGTTTAATTCACGGAAAATCAAGCATGTCTGTTCAATGTGCCTCAGAAGATAAGAAGAAAAAGGATTGTAATAAGAACGCTATTCGGAGATCAAATTTATCGCTTTAACTGTACGAATGGGACACTTTTCATGTCATGTTAAAATGGGGATAAATCAGGACATTACTTAATGAAATAATGAAAATAAACAAATGAAACTCACCCATGTAAAAGTAGGAAAAGATAATGTCGCAGAGCCGAATATAGAGATCGGCATCCTTTGATCGAGGGCCATTTTGAAAATTTGTATGTTCACTTTCAGATTTTTGTTGTATAAATACCACTTGTTTGTGACACTCTCTTCTAGTTTTTCGCACTGAAAAGAAACAATTAACCAGAGTTATAGTTTTTTTATTTATTAAGCAAGTAACTGCTATTTGTTTGAATCTTAAGAAAAAAAAATACTAGGAAAAAGTCCACGTGGACCTGGCAGCAGACGGGACTCGAACCCGCACCCTTAGCTATCCGGGCCAATGCACTGACCGGCCCTGATGGACGTGTCGATTTTTCTCTAGCCTTTCTTAAGCTGCAGAGCAGCACCATCTCTTCGCATTGCAGGCAACCCACAATGTAAAATGAATACGAAATAAAATATATATATATGTGATAAAAACGGAATTTACATCATATCACGGTTGTCATGCTACTACTAAATATTTGAATGTTACTGTACTTACTTCGTTATTGACTTGTTGACCCAGTGTACATAACAACAGTACCATCATTATGAAGCAGAAACCATGCATATAGTATTTCATAGTGTCCAGTGCTAATTTATCCTAAAAAATATATTGTTGTAGATGACAAAGCGATATTATAATTGGGATAAAATTAGATCACAGAAATTGATCTAAATATTCGCGTGTTAAAAGACCGATGGGCATCTTTTTACGCTAATATATTTTTTCGCGTCACCGTTCTCAATACCGGACGTCAATCATAGTATTTTAAAAATATCTGTGTCATATTAATCTGTAAAAACGATGTAATTCAAATAAGTGACCGGGTCCATACTTTTAACGCTTATTTCGTTCTCATGAGTACTCAAATTCTGACATGCACTCGTTTTCCATACAATTTGAAGTACATAATAGTACTAGAACCTATTACTCTCATTGGTCATCAAAGTGGCACGTTGTATTATTCTTTTGCTATAGCCAAGAAAATGACAGCATCAACCTAAAGAGTTTATTTGTTATCTCTGTCTGCGTTCAGTATTTGACGACCTCCGTGGCGGAGTGGTTTGTACGCCGGGTTTCATGGTGTCGCTGGCTCGAGAGGTCCTGGGTTCGAATCCCGGTGGGGGCAGATGTTTGTGTGATGAATACGAGCATTTTTACTCCAGTCATGAATGTTTAATATGTACTTCTATATAAATATATATGTACAGTATTTGTATTCTATCCGTTACCCTAGTATCCCATTACTCAAGCCTTACAGTGCTTACTTTTGGGCTAGGCTAATTGGTGTGTGTTTAAAAAAAACTGATGACTTCAGCCTAAATTATGTTAAGGGTTATTAGGGACGGAGTTAGCAAATAGTCATTTATGCAACTGTTGCATTATGAGGGGTCTAAAACACGAATGTGGATGTATGGCATTTGTTTATATTAGCTTTTTACTGTACTAGCTGTGCCCTGTTACCCGCGGTTTATTAGGGATTTTTCCCCACAATAAAACGTAGCCTATGTGTTAATCCAGGGTGTCAGCTAACTCCATACCAAATTTTATTAAAATCGCTCCAACCGTTTAGACGTGAAGAAGTTACAATCATACACACTCACAAACTTTCACCTTTATAATATAAGTGTGATTAGCTCATTGTAGACTGTTGCATACAAGACTTTATCTACACCCATGATATGAATCCTCTACAAAAGATTCTGAAACCACGGGCAGAGTTCTAAGAACTTTTTTTTATTCTTTATTAAGCATACACCTGAAAGGGTAAGCCGGCTTCTAAATTTGAAATTCATAAAAAGTTTCAGTGTTGTGGTAGTGAAAACACTTTAATGACTAATTTCTTTTTTTTTAATTCATACTTATACCTCGCATCGAGTAGTAAAAAATATGGCTATCTGACATGTCTGATGGGCGAACCCTCTGCCCAGAAGGAATCGAAAAAGCGAAGATGTGTGATTTTGGAATTTAGTACAACATTATATCATCCGTTTGGAGGAGCACATTGGATGTTTTAATGTTGGCAATGAGCTAACTTTTTCAGAATCTTTTAAAAGGTTTTAATGCTTTACGTTAGTGCTTACCAGGATTGTCTCGTTCGTCGGAAAATACGTCACACCATTGATCCTGATTGGATGGGACTATTCATCGCATTTCTATTCCATTAAGAGAAAAAAACGTAATTATGCCTAGCAGTAGGTACATTAATATGCCGATGATGACGTACCTATAACTATAACTGCGTGAGTACATATGTATATGTTGTGTGCACATTCAACTTACCGATATAGCAATTTTTACAGAGCACATGCAAACTAGCACAGTCGCCATCAGTAACAATGCTAAATAGTAAAAGTGGAATGTTAAGTTGATGCGATTGCTAAAACTGAAATAATAAACAAATTCATCGTTGCATTAATGAAATCCATGAAATTTTATTTATTTTAAAATTAACACAATTAAATAACATTAGTGTAGCCAAAAATTGATAGACAAAAATTATCGATATTTTTTTTCTGTTTGTTGGATACGTTAATCAAAAGTGTCCAAACGAAAGACGTACCTTAATAACCCAATTTTTTTTCTTCAATCTGATTTTGTCTTGTCATGCCTTTATCTAAGTATCAATACCACCTTGCATATACTAATGTAACCCAACTTTCCTGAATAATTACTAATCTTCTATTTTATTTACCTTAACCTAACCGTATACTAGTATTATATACAATATCTGTGCCTGACTTGAAGTATTTCATAGAATCCAATCCAATCTTATAGAGAAATATGACATGGGTTTTTTCCTAGTTTAGGCGTTAGGCCGCCATAATTAGATAAGTAACCTTTTTACTTAGTGTTTTTAATGGCATAAGTAACTGATTATGGTGAGAAAAAAAAATCTTATATAGTAATATCCATGCTGCTACTAATACTTATAAGACAAAATTTAAACAAATTTAGATTAAACATCAACCCATTACTTCAATTTACAAGTTCATAATTTAAAGTAAGGTCAGGAATTAAAACTTCGAAAATATCACGTTTCTTCTAAAAAATATTAAATCCTTTTCTATATAAATTTTGCAGTTATATCAGGCAAATGCACGGGCATTGGAAGCCTAGTAACAGGAACAAAACCCTTTAAAAAGGCACGTGAAACATAATGAGGAATTTAAAAAAATGCGCATTAGTGAGATCTGCACTTTATAATTAAAGAGAAACTCGAGAATCGCAACAAAGTCAAAATCAATTGTCTCTCCCCGTCATCTCGAGTACCGGCGCAACCTGATGTATCATATTCAGACTCCAGGAAATTAATTAAAAGCACGCTAAAAAGCAACAAATTAATAAATTCAGTAGTTTATGAAAACATTCTTGGGAATATTAAAATTTCTTATTTTCCCCGTAAGCTTCTTTATCCTCTACCCAAAGCTGACGGTGAAGTGATTAAATATTCCTTTAGAATTATATATATAAAAAATATATGTTTAAATTTCTTTTATGTTCCATAAGTATAGAAAATCATTTTCTTTCAGCGTAGTATGTGAATGAACCTAAAGTTGTATCGAATTAGGATTCTATTAATACAGAAATTGATCAACATAGCAATAATAAAAAATCAAAAATGAAAATGTGTTGGATGATTTTTTTTGGTCCGAAAACTAATTAAATTACCAACTTTGGTGATTGTTATGTAGACAACGAGATTTAAGAAATGTACTGTAATCGTTACAAAAAAAATATTAGAGTGCAAAATCATCCATAGAAGATAAAAGATTGTTGACTACCTTTAATATAGTTTCTGAAACGACTGTAAGTATACGATGGCAGTATTTGTAACTTTGATTTCAGAATAATAACGAACAATTATAAAGCAGATTGAAATTGATTTCTGCGTTTTATAAACTATACATGTATAGGCTGAAAGAACAATAAGGTAAGTCTAAACGAAAAAACCGATTTTGAAAGATGCGGAAGATATTCTTACTCGAATTGTCAAACTATCAAGGTACTTTTTGTAAAGCTATAACATTGGCATTACTACCCTTAATAAGCTGGGTAACCTAATAAAGAATATTGACAATAACACTGGGTGGTTTACTGCCTGCCTTGCAAAGCAGTTAGAATTTTAATAGTGCGTCACTATTACTTGTTTAGGGCGAGATAGGTATTTATGCTAATTTAGTTAAATCTTGATATCGCAACTATAACAATGTAATGTCACTATTTCCAGTTTTGCCCATTATACATTTTCCTTTGATTATATAAACGCCTAGATAGATCAATCCAAATAAATCACGCAAATAAAACGGCTCATGTTACGCGCAATGTGTGCGTGACTCTAATGTCAGATTGCTAGAAAGCTGTCAATGTTTAACGACGAGCGTGTCGACCATTATAGTGAATATTTTTTGGCTTCCTTGCAGTTACTACGTTATCTGGGCATGTATATAATCAAAGAGACTTTTCAAAGACTTCCTTTGCCAAATCCACATTGATGCGTAAAGACTATTTATTTAAATCTATTTAAACGTACCTTTTTAACTTCACATAATGGTCGACACATTGGCACAAAAGCGAGTTGCAAACCTCCTGCCATATGTCGTTGTGGTTTTGGTCTCCAACAATTTCATCAACCAAATCACTCAAGTTTAACAGTATGAAATTTAGAATCCTCAACTGGCGTATGAGTTGACCAAGGAATAAAACTATTGTCGTTTGCAAACCTGGGTATGCTGGAAATGTAAAGCGAGAAGACATTTGAAAGCCTAAAGTAACAGTTTAGATCACTGTAGTGGATATCAAAAGCGAGAAAAAGGACATAAATCGTCTAGCAGTTTTTAGTGTCAGAATAGGTATTTCAAGATCATTATAAAATTAAACCTACATTGTTTATAGGGAAGTCGTCAGAGGGAGAATCAAGTACTGAGTTGGCCCCGCCCAAAGATAAGAACAGTACTCCATGTGAGGCCGAACCCGTGCTTTATAAATTTATAGTCGGTGGGCCGGTGTGAAGTACCCCCTCGATCTATTGAGCACACCAAACTTCTTGGAGGCTAATTTGGCCTTGCCCTCCAGATAAACTCGGAAGTGGATGTCGCTCGATATGTCAACGCCAAGAATACCGATACTAGCTGAGGCAGTAATGGGAGTGTACCCAAAAAGAGGGGATACGACTAATTGTTTTTTTTAGCGGTAAACGCGCATATCTGTATCATCGTGGGGTTAAATTAGACTAGATAACTTCCGAATCAAGTTTATTCCAGCTCTCCATTATGTTTTCTAAAATTATTTGCGCGGCCGGTATATAAGGCATCACATGTGCTGGTCGTCTGCATAGCAATGAATGCTAACAATTTGAAACAAATATCATTGATATGCAGAAGAAACAGCCTAGGCGATAGCACACAGCCTTGTGGGACACCCGCGTTTAGGGATTTGGGGTCCAAGAATTCACCGTCAACTACGATCTTGATGCTCCTATCCGCAAAAAGTTGTGACCCAAATGCACTATTTATTCGGGAAGCACATAAGAAAGAAGCTTCGAAAGAAGCGCTTTTTGCCAGACCCGATCAAAGGCCTTTGTCATATCCAGACTGACCGCTAATGCTTCCCCCTTGGTCTAGATCGCCTTTGCCCGACAATGCGTCAAGAATACTAGAAGATCATCGGTCGAACGACTTCTTTGGAATCGGGTGCATTAAAGCTGTCTGCCATGAGCTTGGAACTACGCTTTAAGAGTAGGAGAACCGGAAAATTTGTGTTATTACCGGAGCCAACTCAAGAGCACACGACTTCAGCACAACTGGTGAGACTCCATTAGGCCCACTCGATTTGTGAATATCAAAGGAGAGTGCTTTGCGCATTGATCGTTGCGTGAACCGGATATCCAGTATAGTATAGCTATCACACTACGGGATGGTCGGTGGTGTGTCATTCAAAGTCGAGTTAGATGCAAAGAGTGAGCATAAAGTTTCCGCATAGGGGTGGCTAACAGAAGTTTCCTTCAACAATCATGGCAAGAGACCAAAACGCGCAAGTTCCGGAGGGAAGTTTCATTATTCTCTTGCCAATGCTGCTGATGAGCTCGCCTTAGCAATCACTGATTTGCAAGAGTCCGAAGACTAGTTCAGTCATCGGAAGCGGAGACGTAACAGCGATGCATCATCAGTCGCCCGTGACCATGACCGGTGTAACCTGGTCGAAACATCGGGATAAGGAAGGTACGAAAACCTATACGTATTAGATTGTATTTTCGCAAAAATGTTTTTTTTTATTAAATTATTTTGCTCAAAAAATGTCTCCACGCTAGCTATCTCTCTAATTGTGCAATTATGAAACCTTAACAATTTAATTTACATAAATTGATACAAATAAATCTACTTTTAGGATCTTTGTACTTTATACGAATATATAGTGGGCATGTATTTAAAAAATTGCGCCGTTTTAAGAATTATGTTAACGGTATAAATCAACAGTTTTGTACAGAGATGTAGTGAGTTTACTGTTTATAACTATTCTTAATATTCTTATTTACACAATTTTTAAGTTTCTCAGGATCAGCATTTAAAATTTATTCAAATCCATAACATAAGAATTTACAAAAAATACTTAAATGACCCCGATTTTTGTAAAGCGTTCTAAAATCATGATTTTTTTAATGTGGTGTTAAAATATAATTAAAAATTCCAGAGAAAGAATCTTAATTGATTTCAGAAAAATACTTCACTCTTCTTTTCTAGTAAAATTTTCTTCAGATAATTTAGATTTTGTTAATATGTAGAACAACACAGCCGACACAGCTAGGAGGGAAGAAGGTATGCACAGCTTTCCCCCTTTGTCTGCAAGGCAGTGTCATCTCTTCGCATTGTAAGTAACCAATGTCAAATGAATACATTTACAAGTATTAAACATTTGAAAGAGGAAATAGCATTTTTTTTAAGCATTTAACTGTTATATGTTTAAATCTAAAGAAAATTTTACTAGAAAAAATTCTCTCTAGACTAAGGCTAGAGAAAATTCAACACAGACATCAGGGCCGCGGTAGCATAATGGTCAGTGCATTCGCCCGGATAGCGAAGGTCCCGGTTCGAATCCCGTCTGCTGCCTGGTCCGCGTGGAATTTTTCTAGTAAATTTTTCTTTAGATTTAAACATCTAGCAGTTAAATGCTTAAAAAATATATGTGGTATTACACCCTTCGGCCGTTTTCGAAACCATTTTTCAAAACCAGTAGCGAATAAAGAATTATAGTCCTTTTTTTTAAAACCGGTTTTGAAAAATGCTTTCGATAACGGCCGAAGGGGTATAGTATCGATTTGGCTACTCCCTTCCGTTTTGCTCTAAGTAGGTATCCAATAAATTCGAATATTTATTACCAATGCTGCACAAACAACCAAGATAAACGTTGAATAGAAACGACATTACGTAAACACTTATGTCATCCAAGCTCCACGGGAACCACATATCAAAACCTGAAACAAAAATAAATGAACCTTTTTTATATGATACATACTAATGTCGCTATTTTAGATCACCAAGGACAAGACAAGTAGGCTTTCCTCTAATGAATTTCTTTTCTTTAGATATTTAGTATTTATTCCATATAAAAATTTCAATAGAATTCTGCTTATTATGAGATGCTCGATGGCGCAGGCGACACTCACACAGACTCCTCCGTGCTTCGGGAGGCACGTTAAATAGTTGCTCCTTATTCTATCCATAAGGCCTGTGCCCCCGCAGAGGGGAGATTTGAATGCTAATGATGATAATGATACCTATTATAATGTTAACTAACCAATCAATCTCAAAGTGTCATCTTCAGTGACGCACATCTCATAGATACTACTCCATGGGTACAGAGTTGCGATCACCAAAACGCTCATTATGTAGACCTTCAGAAAGATTCTTGAGAAATTCGCCAACTTCATCTGAGACATTCGAACCAGTTCCTTCAATTCATACAAAAGGTTTCCTTCGGTCAAACTATTAACGTGTTGTATCAGAGGCATCGCCTGCATTTCATCCTTAAAAGCCATCTCTTCTAGAAACCCTCTTAATTCGAATCTGTAAATCAAACATAGAACAAAGGTAATCGCCATCGGAACTCCACTGGACCATATGCAAGAACCTCGTATGAAAATTTCAATGTCCGTAGTATTCGTAACTACAAATCCAGTCGTGAATACAAAACACAGTACGCCGCAGATGGCATTAAATATTAGGAGTCCGAGCCATGCTTTGGAGATCCAGTTCTTCTTAGCGTATATGGAAACACCTGCCATTGAAAAAATGCGATGGAAAACATATAACGTCTCGTCCATTTTGAAATTTGAACCGTGGCGTACTGCACTGAATAGATGCTTCACCAAAATTTTTTAATGTAACATCGAGTATAGTCGTGTATAAATATCAGTTAGATGAAAAATAAAACGTTATAAATATTTTTTTTGTAATGAACATGTGCATTTCTTTACCTGTCATCGAACTTCATTATACACTAGTGGGTACGCGGGACTTCGTTTGAGTGGAAATATTGGTTTCCCATACAATCTATCACCCCCATTTTCACCCTCTCAAAAAAATATTTTGGGGCTCAATCCAGCTAATAAGCTATATGTGTGGTATAATTCATCCAAACGTTTTTCAATGTTAACAAACGAGTAAGAAACATATAAAATTGCACATTTATGTTATGACATGAGATTAGAATAATCCACTATTTATAATTATATTTATGGAATGTCCGTTGTACGCTAATAAAATTTACTTTGCTATGCCCAAATGGGTAACATAATTCGGTCGATTATATTACATACCTACCATCTTTTGTACAATTATGATTAGCGATAAATGTTTGACTTTGACTTTTGACTTAGACGATTATTGTTAAAAATTCCAACGTTACCTTATTTATTTATTCACCATGTCCAGTTTACGCCCTTTCAAAGAATTTTAAACCCAATTCCCTCATAAGAGTGGACAGTCGTAGAAGTCGCATCGCGTGAACTCCCAAGGATCACCAAGATTAATGAATCCTACAGTATATAACTGATGACAAGCTTCTCCAAATAAATGTGTCATATCGCATTGTGAGCGCGACTGTATCCGTCACAGCAATCATCTTCGGGTGTACTTAAAAAAAACGACAAAATGATATATGGTGTGAAAGGAGCATATGTTGCCGCGCTGTAAATAATTGAGTGACACTCCTTTGATATTTTGATTTGACGGTTCGAGAAGAAATTCTCTTTGATACTTCACATAACGTCTCGCATGGATTTTAATCGAATTTCGAGCCTTTTTGTTAAAGAGGCGAAGCGATACACGCTCCGTGGCGTGTTAGGTACACTTTTGAAATATGAAAAAGCCAACGAGAAAATAAAATTTAAACAAAGTTGTAGGCTTTGAGGATCATTATACTAGAACTGTTATTGTTTTGTTATATTCATCAAAATTATACATATTAACATTGTCTAAGAATCAACCTTCGATGTATTGAGTATATTTTTGGCAGTAGTAGTAGAAGTACAAGAAATCATTGTTTACCAAATCTAGTCATTAACCCGGCGTCAGCACAGTCAAAATATGCAACAACGACAGTAGGGTTGGGTCGAGAGGACCCGTATAAAAAAACGCCATAATTACAAACGTTTAAATAAATTTGGTTTGCGGTTGTACTATCTGTATAATACGATTATCGTTATAGGTTTTGAGTAGAAAAAAAACACAACGTGATACGAAACTATCTTATTAATTTAATTTTCATAAAAGTGTCGCATTTTTGTTTATAGTATTGATTACGTATTGTTTTTGTTTATTTACTATAACATTTTTTTCTATATTTTTTCACCATTATACTTTTATTGTTGTTGTTTGATAAATTTCACCTATTGGGAAGGCAAACAGCATAGTCCATACAGCCTCGTTTTGCATAAAATTAGTTACTCTTCTACTATGAAGGAAAATTGCATAGATTATCAATGTAGGCGAAGGCAAAGAACTTCTGCAGCTTTGACTTATTTTTTTTATTTTTATTTAATATAATACCCTATAATCTTGTCTTCATAGTGTCTGGCATTCACGTGTCAGGAAGGGGACCAGTCGAAAACCAGCGTCAGTGCAAACTGACCCAAAGCTGAACTGGGTCCTTTTCGGTCCAGCTGTGGATACATGTTATTTAAAATAAAATATATGAAAATTTTCACAATACAATTATTGTATTGTAATTGTAAAAATTTTCATATATTTTTATTTTATTTTCCGGTAAAATAGCAAATGAAAAAAACGATTGACAATATGGCAGCATTGCAGATATGCTTAATAAATAATATGAAGAAGATATCATATCAACAATATCATTTTCATCCCACCACCTCGGAAAGTGTAATTTTGCGCTTCGAAATCTGGCTGGAAAATTCTATTTTATTCGCTTGAGCGGCAAAGTAGATTTGAATTTAGAACATCACATATAATGAGTACTCAATATAATTGTAAATTCAAAACGTCATTAAACCTATTTAATGTAACCTCTATGGTGCCAAATTTATGATTAGAACTTTTTAAATTGTGAAAAAATTTAAATTTGGAACCTTCTTGGTTTCTTTGTTTTATTTGCGTGCTTCGCGCCATTCTAGTTTTTCACGTTTTATTGCTTAAATATTTTGTCATTATAAATTGTTTTCTTTTTCATTTTGTCATTTCCTCGCTGAGGTGGGATGAAAAGTTACGTATTGCACTCGAGTGGAAAGATTTTTCACCTTGTGCTCGTTTGTTTCCCTCGCTGACGCTCAGGATTCTAATTTAGAATCACTCGCTGCGCTCGTGATTCAACTTTAGAATCCTTCGCTTGCTCGGTCATCCAAATCGAGCACGCGGTTAAAAAGGAACTTTCCACTCTTGTATAATAAATAACTATTTTCACATCATAAACGAACAATCGATGCCGGAGGACAGGCATGTAAATAGGTATTTTAATCTCACTAGCGAAATTCTAATACTTTAACGTACAAAGGTAGTCTTAATAAAAGAAGTTAAAAAATGAATAAGCACAATCACGTTTCAGAAATTTAGGATATTATGTAATAAAGCATAGTATACGGGATTATGTTTAGTCTTATACTTTTTAATTAATTTATTTATATTTACACAAAAAAAATTAAAAAAGCTCAAATCTACTTAATGTCTTAAAACTTAATAACCAGAAATAACTAAGTACTCAAATAATATAAAATTAAAAATAAAAAATACATCACCCCGAGCGCCACCGTCAGGAATGGTGCCAAATAGGCTGGCAGAATTTCCTCGTTGGATAGCAAGGCTTATCCGTTGACCAAGGTAGTTACCAGCCTTTTGATCACCGGTCACCTCGGTGAGTGTCTTAGACAATTCCTTAAGAAGGAACGAGCGATTAGATGGTCCCATAGTATCAACACCAAACGGCACAAATCTGTAGTTCTCTGCGTGAGCTGAATATTTGCGCCGCTTGGAGCACTCGGCAGAGGCCACCGCCGCGCCTGCAGCCAGGGAGGTACTACTTGTATGGCACGGAGCAAGCGTATCCATACAAGTTGCGTCCCATACAAGAAGACGACCCTGCAAGGAATGAGCGTCATTCTGTCAGGTCTCTTGCCATCGTCTCGGAATATGCCACTAGGCTGTAGGACCGCTGGCACATTGACTCCGACAAGAACTCTGCGGATGACGTCATTGACACAGGCGTGGCGGAAGATTCGAACAGCGCTCATTTGGTATGAGAGACTATGGTGTCCCAACTCACCGACGCGAGATCCGCAACGACAGCGATGGGCACGATTGGTCTTGACGTCGAGTCTAAGTGTCAAGCAAAGTCCCGATATTGGCTGAAGGAAGAGCTTACAACCAGTAACCAGACTCTATCTGAAAGACCGCTAGGAGGCAAGCACGCTCAGCTGCATTTTCAGAGGAAGCTAAAATATCACTTTGAAGAAGCAAACAGAGTGGCTCGTCCCATTGCCTCTGTGAAAATAAAAAGGATGGTGGATCTACTCCCTGGCATGCGCTATACCAAGCATTCCTGGCCTCTGCAAGGTGATCTAGCTCCACTACGCCTAAAGAAGGACATAGTATTTTATAAAAGAGCTCGGCTGTACCATGTGCCGAAGACAAAAAGCGGGAAGGGCAATATGTGAAATATGGCGAGTACCAAGTCGTCCGAAACGAACAGGGAGAGAGGCCTTCTTCCAAGCGTTATCAGAAAATGAACAATTTAGATTTTTGGAAAGTGCCTTCTTGAGTGAACTGAATAGATGACAGCAGCCCTGGAAAAAGCCAATAAGAGTACAACGTGAAAGAATTATAAACTTTGGGGCAAAAGCGCAAAAACTTATTAAAAACAAAGTCATGTGAGGATTAATTTTTCAATAAAATTGGAATAGCATCGTCGAATATGGGGGAATCTAGGAGACGGTGTGATTCAAGAATTTTAATATTAGGAGCTAAAGTCAAAAATTTGGTAATAATGCATTGTAAAAATTTTGATTCTGGAATAAATAACTGGAATTTTGAATAATTTAGATCAAGGCCAATATTTTTACTATAATAGTTTTATACTATTAAAGTCCATCCTGGTTTGTGGTAAACGAATTGGTAAAGAAATTAACTTTTTTTTCCGTAAATCTCTCTAAGTATTTTTTTTGTTTTCACTATGATCTCAGAATCTACAAGGTAATAATAGAAGGATTTTTATACAGTTTTCACTATCCAGTTACAGAGATAGATTTTATTGAAGGTTTATTATATTTGTTATAAATATCAGAGAACAAAAATCTTGTTTGCTGTTCAAAAAACAATGAGTTCTTATTAAATTCACACTACATCCTACATCCAAGCTTCACACCAAAGTAGGTTACATTACTTCCGGTACAAAAACCCAACAAAAAGGCAACATAACATACAGAAAAATATACTTGTTTGTTTAGCCTACCGGCCATCACAATGGTTGGCAATCGTACAGAGGCAGCCATTCGTCAGTCATAGTATAGCACCATAAATCTTCCCCATGGCGTCATGCTATTGTTATTTTTCACACTCTCGGTGATAATGTCTCCCCACTATAGTGTACGGGCGAGCCTTATCCTATATTTTTATTCTACAAAACTCCGTTTTCACACTAGTAGGTATTTTCCCTTGAGCCAAGCTTTGATGTCATAATGTAGCGCCGCATCGTAAAATGACGCGGTTTTTAGGGATCCGTACTGAAAGAGTGACATAATAAATAGTGACGTAATACAGTTGATTATCAATCTTTTTTTATTGAAGTGAAACTTCTTTACGCACGCTTGATTTGGGGAGTAAGCTGGCGAATGCGTTACGCGTTACGAAAAGTGTATTCGGGCGAGGCGAACGGGAATGGAATTGGGGATATAAGCAAGAGAAAGCTGTGCGCGCGCACGTTTTCTTTCTCTCTTTCTCTTATAGCTAGTAAATGAAATATGTATGTACATACATGTAT